TCCAGAACGATATTGTCGTTCTTGAGTCTTCTGTGTGAGTCGCTCGAAGGTAGTCTGCTTTAGGGGTTCGTAGGCATCACTCATGAGATGACGTAGAATTACATTCAGATCCCAGGCTGGCGCTCTGAATTTCTTTTGCTGATCCTCCAGTTTAAAGATCGCAGCAGAGCAAGAAATTCCAGTACTTTCGTCAGTTTGATGCCTGACTTCATAGTGACCACTGTACTGATAGCTGCCAGATACCTGGATAATGTCGAACCTTTCAGATGTCTTGTATGTTCGAGATGACATAAGTATTCCGCCACTTGAAGATGAGTAGCTTCCATAGCTGTGAAGCCTTTCCATCTTGCATATTTCTCAAATTTCAGCCTTTTGTCATCATACAAATTACGAGTAGATCTGCGTAACGCTAGGGTTACTGCTTTCACTGCTCTGGCGGAGTATCCTCTTTTCTTCAAACAGGTTTTGATACGGTCCACATGTGTAGCTGGAACAGTGCTGGGTTCCTGTGGACTTGTTTGGTGTGCAGATGTCTGAGTAGGTTCGGCCATTCTTGGTAGCTTGAGGGTTGGACTTCCGAGATCTTCTATTAGGTCTAGGAACCAGACTCTCGTTGGCCAATAGGGCGCGACCAAAGTCAGTTGTAGCGCCTGCGTCTGTCTGATCTTCAACAGTACCTTCGGTAGTAAGATCTGGGTGGAAACACGTAAGCGTTTAGTCCTTCCCATGATATGCTCAGTGCATCTGTTGCCCAGGCTTGGGGATCTGGTACTGTTGAGACAAACGTCTGTAGTTGTTTGTTGAACCTCGTGGCAAACAGGTCTATGCATGGGAATCCTATTTCCCTTATGATGAGCCTGAATGCATCTGGATGGAGCATCCATTCCATAGGTGATGGGTGCAGTGGTCAGGAGAGAGGGTCTGCTTGCACATTCTTGGCTCCCTGAATGTGACACACCTTTATCTAGATGTTTGCATCCTCCGTGATGTCGAACAACTGGAATGTGAGCTGAAGTAGGCTTGGTGATCTTGTTGATCCTTGCCGAGTTATGGAGAATGCCACTGCAGAGTTGTCCGTGTGGACCATCAACATTCTGTTGATCAGCGAACTCGACCATAGCTATACGGCGTTTATTACAGCTTTCATTTCTAGCAGATTGATGGGAGGATTCTGTTCTATTTTGGACCACTTTCCTGATGCAACTTGATTGCTGAGATGTGCACCCCATCCCTGTAGTGATGCATCTACGTAGAGATGTGCGTCGAATACCGGCTCTAGCAAATAGGTCCCTCCCCAGACATTCGACCTGTGAGTCCACCAAAGCGGGTACCTTTTGAGATTCTCTGGTAGCCGGATAGGGTCGATGCTGTCCAGATGTTTTGCCAGGAATCGTTGCAACGGACGTAGTTGTAACCTTCCTGTGTGCGTCAAGTCTTGCGCTGAGGTTAGCAGACCGAGTAGTCATTGACATGTTCGTAGTGTTAACGGAGAGATGACTGCTTGAGGAATCATGGCTTGTATCTTGACCCAACGATCTTCTGGAACCACAATTCGATTCTGCGTAGTGATGAATCGTATTCCCAGAAATTGAAGATCTTGTTTTGGTTCTAACTATGACTTCATCAGGTTCACTAGCCATCCTAGTTGTGTGAGCAACTTTATTGTGAAGGTCAGCTATTGTCTGAGTAGACTGGCATCTTGATGAACCTGTATGCTGTCGTCGTCCAGGTAAAAGGCATTGCGTAGGCCTAGATGATGTAGGTAGGCGACTATGGCTTGGTTATTCGTGTGAATAACCATGGAGCAGACGATATTCCAAACGGAAGGAGGTTCCATTGGAAGTGTTGACCTCTGCACAGGAATCATAGATACTTTCTTGACTCCGAATGTATGGGGATGTGCAGATATGCATCCTGAAGGTCTATGCTGGCCATGTAATCTGCTGGACGGATGAGTCGTCTGAGTTGCGGTAGGTGGATCATTTTGAACCTTTTTGGTTTCAGTAGATAGTTATGATTGAATTTCTGCATGTTGTAAATCAATCTGAATTTCTCTTTGGATTTCTTCTTGGGTACAAGGAAAATTGGGGAGTAGAAGCCTGGTGTGAGATGATGTTCATCTATCCTCTCTACTGCATCCTTGGTTAGAAGTGTGTTGATGGCTTCTTGTAGTTTGTCTGCCTGCTCGTCTGCATAGTCGAAGACCATCGGTCTGAGGGTTAACGGTGGTGTGGCCTTGAGCTGCACTCTGTATCCTTCTCGCAGTACTTGTGAGGCGTAATCGTCCTCCAGTATTCCCCAATATTCCCAGTACCTTTGCAGACGAAGGGTTTACAGGAACGGCAGGGGGTGGAAGACTCCAGTCGTTCCTAACCCCAATTTCAGCGTCTAGCTCCTCTGGATCCTCTGGGAGTGCGTCCTCTCCCTGAGTTCCCTCTGTAGTTTCCAGATGGGTGACGAAAAGAGCCTTTTCCGCCTCTGAAGCTGGAGTATTTCTTCTCCTTAGCCTTCAGGATACCGGAATATTTCAACTTGCTGTTATACTTCTGTGAAGTATGACTAATAACGTTGGCTAGAGTATCTATAGACTTGATCATCACGACTTCCCTTGTATCATGAGTAGCTTCCTTAGCTGCTTTATCTATCTCGCCTCCGAAGATAGTTTGCGCCGCCCTCTGAGCTCTACGTAACAGTTGGATAAATCTGTCACTCCAGGAACAAGATGCCAGTAGACCCTGTATCCTCATGAAGGTGATACCTGCCGACGCTGAGGCCAAATGATCCGATATGAAGTACTGATCCTTCTTCTGGGTGAGCAGTGCAGATAGTATCATTCTATCTTCTTCCGAACTAGGGTTCTGGAACTTGTTAATCAATGCCTCATTGATAGCTCTGGACCTCGCTAATCCGAAGAAGGATCTACTCGTCACAGTATCAAGTTGGGCCAACTTTCTATCCTCCACCTTGTACATCTTGTTCCGAGAGTCGTTGACTAATTTCATGTTGTCATCTAAGTCCGGCACTCTCATAAAGGGGTCCATATGATGTAAAGGGAATTTCTTCGCATTAAAAGATGGCAGATGTTGATTCTTGGATTTAGTAGCTTTCTCAAAAGCCATGCATAGGTTGGAAGGCACCTTGGATATTGGTTCAATAGGAGGAATAGTGACCGAGTTGAAGTCGTCGTTGCACATCTTATATGTGCAAACTTCATCCACATCCTTGGAAGGAGACTGTAAGTTCAATCCATTAGCTATTCAAGCTGTAACCTCTGATTCTGGGAAGACATAGTCACCCTGTTCATCAGACAGTTCCTGGTCTGTAGAGCTATGCCTTCGCGAACCCTCCTTCTGCGAACCTTGCTTTCGCGAACCTCTATCCCGTGAGCCATCCCTTCTCGAACCAGTCTGTCTCCTGATCCATCCCTTCGTTAACCTCTATCTCGTGATCCATCCGCTCGCGAACCTCTGTCTCGTGTCTCGTGAACCTTGCCTTCGCCTACTTCTCACTCGCGAATCTGGCCTTCAAGAAACGTCTGTGAGAGCTGCAGGACCTCGATCTGGAGTGGGTGGATCTCGAAGATGGTTCCTTAAGCGTTCTCGAACGTTGGCCCATTGTTGTTGTTGCTGGGGATGATCTAGTAGTCGTGGAGGTAGACTGCGTCGCCGATCTAGTAGAAGTAACGGAGGTTCATCAAACACGTCTGCTTCATGAGGTAAGACGATCTCCTTTTTGAACGACCTCTGATGAGTTGACTTGCTAGGTCGCGTAGATTTCGACGCTGATCTAGTCACAGATGTCCTCTTCTGTGTTGTAGATGATGAAGAAGACTTCTCTTATTCTGAGAGGGTGTCAACTCCGTCGTAGCAGATCTCTTCTTAGCCCCCATAACAGACGACTGACCCTGCAACGTACTCGACATAGCACTAGATTTATGTATTTCTGCAGTAGCAAACAACATACAGTTACCGGCTTGATCTCCTGATTTATCAACCGTGACTTGTGATGACTTCCTCAGCCGGTCCATGGCACGTCTATAGATATAAGACAAGTATTGATAAATTGTAAATATGATAAATTTCAATAAATAGGATCTAAATATGAAGGATATATGCTGTATACGGGACTCTAACTGCTTGGGCGAAAAGGGAGAGCATGACAAGTAAGGCTGGTCACATGACTGTTTGCATGGGGAAAGGGAGGTAACTCATGGGTGAGTGTACTTTTACGTCTGCTTTAGGGGAACTACAAAGGATTCGAGTGTTCAACTACCATTCGCATAGAAGAGGGAGATAGGCAAAATCATGTTTAAGGATAAAGACTAATAATAGCGTCCATCTAGCAAAGAAATGCATACCTTTTGACAAAATGATTTGATTTCTAGACATTTTAGAAAAGGTTTAGAAAGGTTAATAAAATGACATTATGATAACCAAACATACCAAATCTTTAGATTGCATTACGTTATACCGGTTCTACTACTACTAATAATAACAATGAGTACTTATAAAGCACTGTATCCATCCACAAGGTGCATGCTCAAAGCGCATGGTCTATGCGTTATACTAATACTGCGGTATACCGTTTCGCCCCTAGTTACAGCTACGAAAAGGAGCCTGTGTTCTAGACGTGACACGCATTTGACGTTTTTTTCCATGTTTTTCAAATTTAGGGTTGATAGAAACTGTGCCCATTAATGAAGAAAACACTGGAAATGATGATTAAGAACTTAGAAAGAGCACAGTGCTGACAGACGAAGGACCATAAATGGCCAGAAGATATAAAAATCATAGTTTGCAGAGCCTGGTATGATAACAAAAACGCTAGGCTCTGCAGGGATTCTGGGTTCCAAGTGCTGCCTAGCAACCAATGAAGATTATGAGAGGTGACCAACTGATCAGGTGATCAGGCACGGTTGGCCATCGAACCCACCCAAATAAGGATGGTGTGCCCAATCCTCAAATGAACAGAACATGCCTTATGAAATTATGAATTCATCATCAGCAATAACGGTTCTGATTCCTGCAAGATCTGGTGCCAATGCTCTCACCATAAGCAATGTCTTTCTCCAGGACGGCTCGGTCACTGCAAGTGGCCATGTGGTATCGTAGTTCTGGCTTTGGCATCTCATGCTTAGCGTTGAACGGACACACCGAAAACTCTGATCCAGGCCAATTCTGAAACAATGCCATCATTCGTCAAAGGTTGTTGGCAATCCTCAGTATTGGTGAGTGAGTGAGTGAGTAGTGAGTGAGTGAGTGAGTGAGTGAGTGAGTGAGTGAGTGAGTGAGTGAGTGAGTGAGTGAGTGAGTGAGTGAGTGAGTGAGTGAGTGAGTGAGTGAGGTGAGTTTTAATCCACACTCAGCAATAATCCAGCTATATGGAAGCGGTCTGTAAATAATCGAGTCTGGACCAGACAATCCAGTGATCAACACTGTTAAGCATCAGTCCAATTAAGCATTGAGGTCCAAAATAAATGAGTGGATCCAAGTATTCAGCCATCATTATTTTAAGCTGCCCTTTAGTTTCCAGAGGCTTACAGTCTTCATGACACACCAAATTAATATCAGGTGGAATTCATTTTCTATAATATTTATGTTACATTTAGAACAAATAAGTTCAAAATAACCACAATCTACACAACTGACACATGTTAACCAAGTCGGCGAGTCTGACAACTCGATCCTGTCCCATCTCACAACAAGCATGGGTTGCTGGAGACCAATTCTAACCCTTCTAACCCTAACCTTCACGTGTCTACAAAACAAAGACCAATATGGAACCATCCAACAAACACAGCTAACTAAGGAAATTCACCTATGTAGATGACGTTTTAGACGAAAATGGTCTACCTCGTGTGCATATTTCAAAATTCAGTTATTAAATGAAACGATAACATTGCTGAATATGCATAATCCTTCAGCCAACACAGGGTTGAAAGCTATACGGTAACACTGAAGATATATTAAGATATTTTTCTTACAACAGGAAAGGTTCATTGATCTTAAACACTATTAGGCCAGACCAATTTCATGTCTTGTTTTACGGATTTTTGTCCTCAGAAAGCCTAAAGGCAGGAGGGGAAATTTTTTTTTTTAAAAATCGCCAGTCAAAGTAATATACATTTTAAATACAAAAAGTATTTTACTTTTGGTAATTTATGAAGTCTATATGGGGGGGAAAAAAAAAATCTAAAAATATTTTCTTGCACATTTACATTTTTGCCCAATAAAAATATTAAATTTTTATTTTTACTTTTAGAGAGGGAAATCGCCAGTCAAAGTAATATACATTTTAAATACAAAAAGTATTTTACTTTTGGTAATTTATGAAGTCTATATGGGGGGGAAAAACAATCTAAAAATATTTTCTTGCACATTTACATTTTTGGCCAATAAAAATATTAAAATTATATTTTTACTTTTAGAGAGGGAAAATGTTTGTTTTCTTATTCCTTGAAAAAATACGACCAGCGGATCCGTAAAACAAGACATAAAATTGGTCTGGATCTTGCTGAATATATTGGGACCTATAATAAAAAAATATATCCAGGCACTTTACAAAAATCTGGAATGTCAACATCAGTCTTTGTGTACAAGTTAAGATGCACAAGTATGGAAAATGATATCTCACAGATGATAACCTGTAAGCACATCAAATGTTGTAGGTCATGAAATATTTAGAATGTGAAACCAAAATGTTCAGTCCTTGACCAACATGACCTTTAGGCTGGAAAATATTCTTCACCATTCTCCATTATGAATTGCTTTCACTCAAATGTTTAGCCGATTTGACCATGTTCCCACCTTGCGGCACTTCATAAGGTGATACTGGAATCTCTTCGCTCGCACCATATGGACCTTGTCGTAGGGACACTCAAACAGTTCTTCCGGATCTGGCACGACCAACTCAGACATGGCTCAATCACAACTGAAACAGGAGAAAACCTTTTTAAAAAAAATGAACATCACAGAGCTACAGATAACTTGTGTTATCACTTGTGTTCATCTCAATTGGTTATCCTAATTTTCCTTTGAGTAACCAAATAAATTGTACTCATCTCACTCAAACTCCTGGATAACAACTTCTTGGTTTATTTTTCCACAACGTTTCTGGGCTAGTTCCTGCCCCTTCTTCTGGTGAATAATGTTCCTGAAGAAGGGGCAACAAATTGCCCAGAAATGTTGTGGAAAAATAAACCAAGAAGTTCTTATCCATAAGATTTGTCTTTTATTACTACACCAACTTCTAAATGCCTTTGAAAAATTTCACTCAAACTCAATTTGGTATTTGGCGATTTTCTATTAGTTCTAAAAATATGATAAAGTTTAAATGTTAGTATTTGTAATTTATATTTGATCTAATATCAGAAACGATAAGAAAGACTGCAAGTTGCCAAATGTGCTGAAATAGAACCCAGGGATAGAAATACTTTAGTTTCTAAGTGTGCCTTAGGGCACCAGGCAAATATTTTAAATGTGCCTTTCAGAAATCAAGTGTGCCCACATGTTTTTAGAATAAATGAATGTAGCAGTGATGATGATCATTTGAAATTTATTGTTAGTAAACAACAAATGTAACCTGTTTTTTGTTCTCACTGATATGTCTTCTCTTTAAAATGGCTTTCTTAAGCTTCATTTGTTCTTTCCCAACACTTTTAATAGCTGAAAGTTTTGTGACAGGTAATTGTTCAACATATCTAACATACACAATTTCCTTTTCAATAACCTAACTATCAGTACTCCTATCATTCTTAATGGAAAAACAACCAGATTTCTTTACATCATCCATCATAATTCCATTGATTTCCTGGGCGATAAAGTCAAGAAATGTTTTTGCTTGTTTGTCATTTGCATAAGTGTCTTGTTTTGGGGATTAAATGACTAAAGGTGAGTTAAGTCTCTAATAAAATTAGGCGTGCCACAAGGGCACAGAGAACAGTTTTTATCCGTGCCATTTCAATATTTACCATTTGTTTACCGTGCCATGGCACCCTAATATATGGAGTATTTCGAACCCTGGAACCTCTCAATATACCTCAGTTATTTTATCTATCCACTGGTACGCAAGCTAAGATTTGACATTTTTGTGTGTACGCATGTAAGATCCCATTTATTGAGTATTTACAAAAATTCAAGCATACTTGTACGCAATAGACTTAATAGGAATTGAGTTTTCACATAAATATTTGCGTAATGTACGCAGATACGCAGCTTATCTGTACCTCTGACATCAGATTCAGGACAAGATAGAAGTGAATGAATGAGTTTAGTTTTACGCCACACTCAGCAATATTCCAACCATATGGCAGCGATCTGTAAATAATCGAGTCTCGACCGGACAATTCAGTGATAAACAGCATGAGCATCGATCTACGCAATTGGGATACGATGACATGAGTCAACCAAGTCAGTGAGTCTGATCACCCGATCATGAATGTCACCTGTTACGGTACAACAAGCATGGGTTACTGTTGGGAATTGGTTAAAATTTTTACAAACCTGGAGAGGTTATGAATTCTTTGAAGAAAAGTCCTCCTTGGGGTACATATAAGCATTAAAATGTCCATTTTAAAAGCCTACGACAGTTGTAACAATATTTCAATAAAATATTTTACCAAACAAAAAACTCGTTATGTGTGGTGAGACCACCCCTACAGGGCCCCGTAGAGGGCCCCCTACAGCCAAGAGCAGGTAACTCTGGCTGTGTACCTCGTACCTCACTTTTCATGCTGAACGTGTCAGACAGAATGAGGGGAGGGGCGGTCAGATTCCCAGGAGGACTTTCTTCAAAGAATTCATAACCTCTCCAGGTTTGTAAAATTCTTTTCAGAAGAAGTCCTCCTTGGGGTACATATAAGCATAAGACAGACTCCAACGATGTTGAGTCGGGAGTGGTATTCTGTCTGCCTAACATACCCCCTAGTTCAGTCGAAGGCACAGCCGAAGCCGCGACAGAGAGAGAAAGTACACTCACCTAGTCACCTGACCGCTGATGTCAATCAGGCGGGGGCGTGGCAAGGCGGGGGAAAAGGAGCCTAGCCGATAGGCTATTGGTGGAATTGATAAAGGCGGACGCAAGTCCCACCCCCCAACCATCAAAATGGGAGGGAAAGTATGGGGCGAGTCCAATATATATCCTCAGCAACCCAAACCAGCGAAGCGGTGCAGGATGAACACAGTGACTGTAGCGAAGTGATAATCGCTACATACAGTAAAACCACCACCAATGTGATACCACCACCGATAAAAATTGAGGAATTTATTAACACCTACACCATGAGAGAAAAGCAAACGTGATTTCTAAGGCTCATTCGACTAGAGAATCACGACACTGCCCACTGGTGAGAACTGTCTGGCCAAACCGAAAGCACGCCCCGCGTGAGTGTTTGTCCAGCTGATAGTGGCGGATGAACGCACCGGTCGGCTCCAGATAGCCGCTGAGCAGATCTCTTCAATGGGCAGTGCCGCCGGGCGATGCTTTTGATGTCGCCACTGCCCTAATAGAATGAGCCTTTAAACCCTGAGAGGGATGGTTAATCCTTTGTAAGAGTAACTTCGAACAAATGGCAGAGACAAGCCACCTAGATATGGTCTGCTTGTTCGCGGGAAGACCAGCCTTGCCACATCGCTATAACAACAGAACAGCTGCTTATCTTTCCTGATAGCAGCGCTCGTTTGATATAAGCCTTGAGAGTCTTACGGACATCTAAGGCGTGAGCACGCCGAAGAGAGGTACCGGACGATGGAGGCCGAGTGAAAGCTGGCAGTTCGATAGAAGCGTTATATGAAAGGCGCCTCGCGACCTTTAGGACGGTAGGAGTCTGGCAACCCGAATACTGACTCTGTCTTTGTGAAAGACAGTCAGAGCAGGATCCGCTGACATCGCGATGGATATCACCTACCGCCTGCCAGGCGTTACCGCCACAAGAAAGGCAGCCTTCCAACTTAACAGCTGGAGTGAAAGAGGCGACAGATCGTGAAAGAGAGGACCGGGACATCCAATCAAGAGCGATTGACAAGTCCCGCGGGGACTAATCCGCCGGGACAGTCGGACGGGATTCTGTCCACGCCTGCTAAAAAAGCGCTGTCGAGAGGGTGCTGCCCCAAGAGAGCACCGTCGGCAGGGATATGGAAGGCAGAGATTGCGTGGAGTAGCCCGGATAGTAGACAGCGGCTAAACCGGCTTCTAACCGAGACTGCAAGAACTCCAGTACTTCAATTACAGTTGAAGAAAAAGGATCAAGAATCCCTCTGCCGACACACCAGCTGCCAAGATAACAGGCCCATCTATCCTCATACTGAACATTTGTCGAATCCCTCCGAAGGCCAGAATTGTGTCTGCAACTGGTGCAGGAATTCCGCTCGCGTGGAGGCGATTCGGACGAGGCCAGGCCACCCACTGAATCCTGGGATTCGGTGCGGCCATCCGTTCTGGGATAGTAAGTCCGGTCGAAGGGTAATAGTACAGGAGGCTGAGCCAGAAGAAACCTGAGTAGTACCGGAAACCAGCTTTGAGCCGACCAAAGGGTGCAAGGAGCACAAGAAGTCGAGCTGGTTGGGTGGCAAGCTGCAAGAGGACTTTGGGAATCAGGGTAGTGCGGAACGCCCACAGAACCCTGTCCGTCCAATCGAGCTGGAAAGCGCCTTGGCTGATGGCTCGGCGGATCCGGTATCCGAGAGCAAACACCGAATCTGGTTCGATCCCCCAGATGCAAACAGATCCACCTGGAACGACCAACAACTGGGAGATAGCCCGAATATCCCCGATGGAGCATCCACTGCGTGTGGGGCCAGGATCTGACGAGAGAGTGCATCTGCTCGAACGTTGTCGTTGTCCTGGGAGATAAACAGGCATTACCCATTATGTCGAACTGGTCGCGCCAGAGCAGAAACTGCCATGCCTCCTGCAGAAGAGACGGGAAACCGCATCGCTCTGCTTCAGGATGTAGGTCATCGCCGTCCTGGTTGTCCATCTCGAGGCGGACCACACGGCCTTGAACCTGCTCCTGAAGTCGTTTGAACACCAACCTGACTGCTCTCAATTCTAGCACATTGATGTGCAGTTGCGCCGCTTCTGTGACCACAGGCCTGAGACCGACAGGCGCTTCAGCACGCTTCACCCTGTGAGGGAAGCGTCCCGTCTGAATTGAGAGATCTGGCGATGGGATGTCCAAAGGGAGCCCCTTGATAAATTCCCTGCCAGTGTCCACCACCGTAAATGAGGAATTAGCCACCCTGGAGTGTGGAGAATCAACTTCGTAACCCTGGGTGTGGACCCACATTCGAAGCTAGAGCCTGCTGAATGGGTCGCGATCCTCAACCGCTAGCGCCGCCAAACGATGTCCACCGTTGCCGCCATGTTGCTAACAACTGGAGCCAAGTCCGAGCTGAGGCCCTGGGGAACTCGAGAAATTGTAATACAAATCTCTGGACTTTGGTGACGCTGTCCGAGACAGGAGACTATCCCTGCTGTCTCGAACCTCGCCCCAAGAACACCAGATCCTGGGTGGGAACCAGTTCTGATTTCTTGAGGTTGATAATCCAGCCCAACTTGGTGAGAATACTCATCACAGCAAGTGTCGCAACCTTCGACTCAAGTGAGTGGCAAGTGCACGAAGAGCCAATCGCCTAGGTACGGGTGACAGCACCTGCCCTGTGACCTGGCTACCTGAGCTGGAATTAGCATGAGTTTGGTGAACACCCTTGGCGCTGTGGAAATGCCGAAGGGGAGTACCCGAACTGATAGCACCTCCCGCCGAAGGAAAACCTTAGGTATTTCCCGAACTCGGTGCATAGGGACATGGAAGTATCTGCTGTCTTTGAGGTCGATTGACGTGAGCCAATCTCCCTTCTCCACAGACGAAATCACCCGAACGCAGTGTTTCCATCTTGAATGACGGTACTCTAACATGTCGCTCAGACCTTTGA